TACAGATGAGAGGGTAGCTAATGTAAGACACAATTTAAAAAGGGAAGCAGAGAGAGAAAACAGGGTATTATAGAGCGGCGAGTCTAACTTTGGTCATGGAGAAGATGCTAGAGTCCATTATCAAGGATTTTATTGCCAAGCACTTAGAAAACAGAGATAGAATCAGACACAGTCAACATGAATTTACAAAAGGGAAATCATGCTTGACGAATCCACTGGAATTCTTTGAGGATGGAACCAGTAGAGTTGATCAGGAGGAGCAAGTGGATGTGGTTTATTGGGACTTTCAGAAGGCTTTTGACAAAGTCCCACTGAAGAGATTCATTTGGAAAATTAAAGCGCATGGGATTAGGGGTAGTTATTGAGACAAATAGAAAATTAGCAGTTAGGAAACAAAGAATAGGAATAAATAGGTCTTTTTTTTAATGGAAGGCAGCAACTAGTGAGGCTGGAACCCCAGCCATTCATAACATATATTAATGATTTCGATGAGAGAACTGAATGTAATACCTCAAAATCTGCAGATAACACAAAGCAAGGTGAAAGGGTGAGCTGTGAGGAGGATGCAGAGATGTTACAGTGTGATTTAGACAGGCTGAGTGGGTGGACAAATGCATGGCAGATGCAGTATAATGTGGATAAACATGAGGTTGTCCACTTTGGTAGCAAAAATAGGAAGGCAGATTATGATTTGAATGGGTGAGAGAGGGGAATGTTCAACAGTGTCTTCATGCACCAATCACTGAAAGTAAGTGTGCAGGTGCAACAGGCAGTAAATAAAGCAAACTGAACGTTGGCCTTCACAGCAACAGGTTTCATGAGGAGCAATGATGCCTTGCTTCAATTATGCAGGGCCTCGATGAAGCCACACCTGGAATATTGTGTTCAGTTTTCATTTCTGAGGAAGGATGTTCCTATTATACAGGGAGTGCAGCAAAAGTTTACCAAACTGATTCCTGGGATGGCAAGACTGACGTATGAGGAGAGATTGAGTTGATTAAGATTGTATTCACTTGAGTTTAGAAGAATGAAGGGAGAACCTCATAAAAACCTATAGAATTCTAACAGGACTAGGCAGGTTAAATACAGGAAGATGTTCCCAATGGTGGGGGACTCCAGAACTAGGGATCATAGTTTTAGGATAAGGGATAAACATTTTAGGACTGAGATGAGGAGAAATTTCATTCCCCAGCGAATAGTGAGCCTGTGGAATTATCTACCACAGAAGGTGGTTGAGGCCAAAACATCATATGTCTTCAAGAAGGAAGGAGATATGTGGCTAAAGGGATTAAGAGATATGGAGGAAGGTCTGGATTAGGGAATTGAGTTCAATGATCAGCCATGATCATTATGAATGGCAAAGCTGGCTGAAAGGCTCAAATAGAATATAGGAGCAGAAATAAGCTATGTTCCTACGTAATTTAAATCCTCTTGTAATTAAGGCAAATATACCATTTGCCTTCCTAATGATTTTCTGCACCTGCCTGTCTGCTTCCATTGACTGATATACAAACACACCCAGAAACCTTTGTACATCCACATCTCCAAAATATCACCTTTTAAGTAATATCCTTCCTTTCTGTTTTGCACACCAAACTGTAGAAGTTCACTTTGACCATGTTGTACAGCATATGGCATGTGTTTTCCCACTCTTTCAATTTGTCTAAATCACCTTGCAACCTCCATACATCCTCCTCATAACTCTCAATTCCACCCAGCATACTTGTCATCAGAAAACTTGGAAATGTTATATTTGGTTCCCTCGTCCAAGACATTGATGTATATAGTGAATAGTTGGGGCCTAAGCACCGATTCTTACAGTACTCCACTAGTAATTGCCTGGCATTGGTCAAAAGACTTATTTATACCCACCGTTTCCTGTCAACTGATTCTTGATCCATGCCAATAAATTACTCCCTATCCCATGTGCTGTAGCTTTACCCTTGGAACTCTTATGAGGGACATTATCAAAAGCCTTCTAAAAATCCAAATGCGTCACAACCACTGGTTTTCCTTTAACTATACTATTAGTTACATCCTCAACAAACTCCAGACATTTTAGGCATAATTTGACTTTCATAAACACATGCTGGCTTTGTCCAAAGGTGGTTAGTGTTTTCCAAATGTTCTGTCATCACATCTTTTATTCAAGAGGGAGGAGAAAAGAGAAATGTAGTTGTAATTGGAGATAGTATAGCCAAGGGAATAGACACTGTTCTCTATGGCCAGACAGTCCCAAAGACTGTGTTGCCTGCCTGGTGTCGGGGGGGTCAGGACATTTCATATGGGCTGCAGAGGAACCTGGAGTGGGAGGGGAAAGATCCAGTTGTCATGGCCCACATAGGTACTAACGATACAGGGAGAAAGAGAAAAGAAGTTCTACTGAGGGAATATGAGCAGCTAGGGGCTAAATTAAAAAGCAGAACCATAAAGGTTATAATCTCTGGATTACCACCTGAGCCTCGAGCAAATTGGTACAGGGTCAACAAGATTAATGAGGTAAATACATGGCTCAAAGATTGGTATGGGTGAAACAGATTTGAAACCATGGGATGTTGGCACCAGTACAAGGGAGGGAAGGAGCTGTTCCAATGGGACGACTCCACTGAATCATGCTGGGACCAGAGTCCTGGCCAATCACACAATTAGGGCTGTGGATAGGGCTTTAAACTAAATAGTGTTGTGGGGGGGTCAGTTGCATGGAAAAAGTTAAAGGTGGGGAGAGCACAGGGGATGTTATTAGAATTTCCAGAACAAGTAATAGGCTACAGAGTATGGAAAGGGTCAGGAATCTAACTTCAGGCACAGCAGATAAGGGGACAACTATGAGAAGGGGAACAGGCAACGTAGGACTGAGGGTGTTGTATATAAATGCATTCGATATACAAAGCAAGGCAAATGAGCTTGTAGTGCAGATTGAAATTGGCAGGTACCATGTTATGGGTATCACAGAGACGCGACTGTAAGGGGATCAGGGCTAGGAACTAAATATCCAAAGATACACATCCCATCGAAAGGACAGGCAGATGGACAGAGCGGGCAGGGTTGCCTTGTTAATTAGCAATGAAATTAAATCAATAGCAAAAAGTGATATAGACTCAGAAGGTGTAGAATCTGTGAGGGTAGAGTTAAGGAACCGCAAGTGATAAACACCCTGATGGGTATATGTACAGGCCTCCTAGCAGTGGTCAGAATGTGGGGAAGAAAATAAATCAGGAGATAGACAAGGCATGTAAGAAAGGTAGCATTACAATTATCATGGGGAACTTTAATATGCAGGTGGACTGGAAAATCAGTTCGGTAACGGATCTCAAGAAAAGGAATTCACAGAATGTCCACGAGAGTTTTTTTTGGAGCAGCTTGTGGTAGAGATCACTCGGGAATGGGTAATTCTGTAATGAGGTGACTTGTTGGGGAGTTTAAGGTGAAGGAACTCCTAGGGGGCAGTGACCATAATTCGATCAAATTCACCCCGCAGTTTGAGAGGGAGAAGCTGGAATCAGATGTAACAGTACTACAACTGAATAAAGGTAACTATAAGGACAAGAGGGAGGAGCAGTCCACGGTTGATTGGAAGAGGAGCAGAGCAGGGAAGGCAGTAGAGCAGCGATGGCAAGAATTTCTGGGGATAATTCAGGAGACACAGCAGAAATTCATCCCAAGGGAGAAGAAATATTCTAAGGGCAGGATGAGACAATATGGCTGACAAGAAAAGTGAGAAACACCATAAAAGTAAAATAAAAAGCATACAATGTAGTGAAGATTAGTGGGAAGCCAGAGGATTGGGAAGCCCTTAAAAACCAGCAGAGGACAACTGAAAAAGTAGGGAGAAAATGAAATATGAGTGTAAGCTAGCTAGTAATATTAAAGAAGATTGCAAAAGGTTTTTTAGGTATCAAGAAGGTAAGAGTGATGCAAAAGTGGACATTGGACCATGGAAAAATGAAGCTGGAGAGGTAGTAATGGGGAACAAAGAAATGGCAGAGGAATTCAATAGATACTTTGCATCAGTTTTCAATGTGGAAGACACCAGCAGCATACGAGAAATTCAAGAGACTCAGGAGGCAGAGGTGAGCATAGTGGCCATCAGTAAGGAGAACGTGCTGGGGAAGCTGAAAGGTTTGAAGGTGGATAAATTACCCAGATCAGATGGACTGCATCCCAGAGTTCTGAAGGAGATAGCAGGTCACTGTAGGAGATAGGAGATTGTAGAATCATTGGTGATGATCTTTCAGGAATCACTGGAGTCATGGAAGGTCACAGAGGACTGGAAAATGGCTGAGGTACACACCTATTTACGAAGAGAGGGAGGTAGAAGACAGGAAACTATAGGCTGGTTAACCTGACCTCAGTTGTTGGTAAAATCCTAGGCTCCATTTATTAAGGATGAGATTGCAGAGTTACTTGGAAGTACTAAAATAGGGCGGAGTCAGCATGGCTTCATCAAGGGCAAGTCATGCCTGTCAAATCTGTTAGAATTCTTTGAGGATGTAACTAGCAAGTTATAGAAAGAAAATCCAGTGAATGTGATCTGTTTGGATTTCCAGAAGGCCTTTGACAAGCTGCTTGCACAGAAGACTGCTAAATAAGAGCTCACGGTTTTAGGGGCAAAGATATTAGCATGGATAGAGGATTGGCTGAGTGGCAGAAGGCAGAAAGTAGGAATAAAGAGGTCTTTCTCAGGATGGCAGCTAGTGACTGGTAGAGTTCTGCAGAGACCAGTGTTGGGACCATAACTATTCTCATTATACATTAACGATCTGCTGAAGGAACTGAGGACATTGTTGCTAAGTTTGCAGATGACACAAAGGTGGGTGGATAAATGGTCACCTCTTGCTCTGTGAAGATGGTGAATGGGACATTACAGGTATACTGGATACTGTTTAGTCTATAGGTAGAATTAAAAGCATTTTGTACCGAATGCATGGACATGTTAATGTACTGTTCAATGCCAATCACGGAACATGTGATTAATGGATACTCAAATGGCTACGACTTACCAGAATTCAGCAAAATGATGGCCTTCAGACAGATGTACTCCTCGCACTGAAGCTTTAGCAGGCGGAATCGTGACACGGTTGCTAGGAGCATGTCAAATATTTCCACCATCCCTTCAACACATTTCCCTTCATTCCTTCAAACAAGAAATCGACAAACATAAATTTAATCTTCTACTTCTTTGAAGAAAAAAAAATAGCTGTCATACAACTTGCTAAAATTTTAGGGACTGTCATCACCTAAAGTCAAAACAGTAGATTCTTTTAACTATTATCTTTGTTCCTCATTTCTTTCTACCATGTTCTTATGTTTTTGTACCAAGGTACTTGTAACTAAGATGGAGCCATGTGTGGTGATATTGAAAACTTTTCATTGTACTCCTGTACTTTTGTATTCGAGTACATATGATAATAAAGTCTAAATCTGAAATCTTTGGTCTTTTTCTGAAAATAATCAACTGCGAAAGCAACATCAAGTTTAAGTGAACAAGCAAATATGTGGAAAATAGAGTACAATGCTGGCAAGTGCGATGCAACTACTTTGGACGCAACTAATTTGAAGTACTTTTGAAATAGGCAATGACTAGGAACTTGGACTCTGCTCCTCTAGGAACTAGAGGAGCAGAGTCCAAGTGCACAAATTGTTCAAAACTAATAGACAGGTATGTAAATAAAGGCTAAAAGGGTGGCTTTTATCTCTAAGAGGCTAGAATACAAAGATCGGGAAGAGATTCTTCAGTTGCACCGAGCTTTGGTCAGCCCCTACCTTGAATATTGTCGTCACTTTTGAGCAACATATCTGCAGAAGGATATACTAGCCTCAGAGGGATTACAGGGCTGAATCACCAGATTGGTGGTGAGCCTTAGAGAATTAAATTGTGAGGACAGATGACACAAATAGGTTTCTGTACAGTCATAGGGGGATTTCAGTCATGAGAAGATTTAAAATTGATAAAGAGGAGGTTTTTAGATAGATTGTCATTTCTTAAAGTTGACAAGGCATTGGGAATGAATGAAATGGTAAGGGATGTGAGAGTGGAATTTACAGAAGCACTAGCTATAACTTTTCCATCTTCCTTTAATTCAGGTTGGTGCCAGAGAACTGGAGAATTGCAAATGTTACACCCTGGTTCAAAAAAAGGGAATCAGGTTAAGCCTATCAATTACAGAACTGTCAGTTTCACTTGGATCGTGGGAAAATGGCTAGAAAGAAAAATGTGGGACAATATTCATAATCACGTGGACAAATGTGGATTTATTAGAGAGACCCAGCCTGGATTTTACAAGGGAAAGTTATATTTAACTAACTTGCTGTAATTATTTAAAGTGATAACAGAGAGGGTTGATGCTGTTAGGGTGGCGTACATAGATTTCCAAAAGGCATTTGATAAAGTACTGTAAAACAGACTTGTAAGCAAATTTTCACTCACAGAATAAAAGGGGCAATAGCAACATGGGTACAAATTTAGCTCAGTAACAGGAAACAGAGCATAATGGTTAATTAGTGTTTTGTTTTGTGTGCTGGGGCAAGATTTGTAGTGATGTTCCCCAGGGGCTAACATTGGAAATCTCGCTTTTCGCAATATACGCTCATGATCTAGGTATAGCTGTATGGGGCACAATTTCAAAATTTGCAAATGATACAAAGCTAGGAAGCCTTGTAAATCAAGAGGAGAACAGTGCAGAACTTCAGAAGGATATAAACGAGATGATGGAGTGAATGGATAGGTGGCAGATGGAGTTCAATGTTGAAAAGTGTGAGGTGTTACAATTTTGTAGAAAGTACAAGAAGGGATAATTAAAAATAAAAGGTACCACTGTAAAGGGTTGCAGGAGCAAGGGACCTGTGTGTATATGTGCTTAAGTCATTAAAGCTGACAGGATGGGTTCAGATCAGTTAATAAAGCATACACTATCCTTGGTTTTATTAATAGGGGCATAGAGTACAAAAGCGAGGAGAAGACGTTGAACTTATGTAAATCACTAGTTTGGCCACAGCTGGAATGTTGAGTCGCAGTTTTTGTTACCACATGGTAGAATGTGAAGGCATTGAACTATGTGCAGAAGAGGGTTGTGAGCATGGTTTCTGAAATGAGGTACTTTGGCTACCAATACTTTGGCAGATAGTTTGGATAAGTAAGGATTATTTCCCTTAAAGAAAAGACTGAGAGGAGATCTGATAAATATTCAAAATCATGACCTCATAGAAATTCGTAGAAAATGTTCTGAAATGATTAGGAATAAGAGGGCCTAGATTTTCAGTAAAGTAAAGGAAGCAAAAGTGATAAGAAAAAGCTTTTACACACAGCAAATGGCTATGATCTGGAATGTACTGTCTTATGGAGGCAGGTTCAATGGAGGCATTATTACAATCATGAACCATCAATAGTCAAATTTCATCATTTGAATTCAACACTTGAGGCTTTCATTAACTAAAACTGGTTTTTAAAAGAGCACTGTTGACCTAAATTGGCTGCTATGTTCACCCGACATAAAATTAATGAACCCTGTTGCCTCTGATATATCATTCGAATCAAGAGGCACTGCAAAAAGAAACTTGCACCTCTTGTTTTACTCACACTTGCATCATAACTGCACACATTGAGAGAGTAAAGTTTGCTACAGTTATCCAGCTTGCAATTGAACAATGACACAGACATCGTATTCTGCAACATGAAATGATAAATCAACAGGAGTGTTTGAATAAAAACAGAGAAAACAACATGGACTGATAACAGAAAGGTTATTGGAAGCTCTCTCCTCTCTCAGTATCAATCTCAATCATAAAAACCAGCACCAGGAAAAACTTGGAAACATCACCCATACACTGATAACTCAAGATCTATAAACTTCACCATTGCTAAAGAAACAGGAACACAGGTAAGCAGTTGAACACATGTCCTTTCACCTTCACAACCCAATGGACTCTTAAGATCTGTAACTCCAATTGCCTTTATCTTCTTGTCTGTACTATATACCCTATACCACATCCTCTCTTTGTGAGCTGTTTGTCTGTGTTCGATATCATGTTTTACTGTTTTTTTCCCTCTCAGGGTTGCAGGTAATAAAACTCCACTATCTTTCATTCAGGGGAATCTCTAAATTGGCTTTCCTTTTTTTTCCCCCGATCTGGCTAATTAAGATTAATTGAGATGTGACAGCCATGTGCTAAATCAGAAAAATATATTGAAAAAAAAAACAAGTGCGTTGCTCTGTTTTCTCACGTCTGTAGAGACAGGTCCAGAACTGTTTCTCAGAATCTTTCCAGAACATTGCTTGGCCATTATCTCTGGCAGCTTAAAACCCCAAGTTTCAGATTCCATTCCTGCTTCAGTTAGTTAGCAGGGGAGTTGTGCAGATCTGGAAAATTCCAGGTTTGTTTCCTCAATCCATGTGACCAGCTGATTGGAATTCCCATAAACAGTGCCTGTTCAGCAATCCCGATTAGGATGTGAGGGAAGGTGGTTACATTCCCATGAGTGAGTCAGCTGTTAACTCTCTCTGCCCAAGCACAGTGCTGAAGAATAGAGAAGAGGGGTGGCATGATGGCTCAGTGGTTAGCACTGCTGCCTCACAGCACAAGGGACCCAGGTTCATTTCCAGCCTTGTGTGACTGTCTGTTTGGAGTTTGCACATTCTCCTGTGTCTGTGTGGGTTTCCTTCAGGTGCTGTGATATTACCCCACAGCCCAAAGATGTGTGGGTTAGGTGGATTGGTCATGCTAAATTTGCCCTGGGACATGCAGATTAGCCATGGGAAATGTAGGGTTCCAGGGTGGGGGATGCTCTTCAGAGGGTTAGTGTAGAGGCAATGGTCTGAATGGCCTGCTTCCACACTGCAGGGGTTCTTTACCTGGGGAAACTGCTTCCTCTCCAAAGAGAAGACAGAGATGGGGGAAAAGTAAGTGCTTTGATCACAAAGATTTTAAATAAGAGAGGGCTGTTTCTCAAGTTATAACAACTGAATTCCACATTTTCAAATCAAAGATTGCTTTCAGCTTTCTCATGTGGCTAATTAACAATGGGGTGGGGGGGCATGGGGCAACTCACGGTGACGGGATGTCAGTTTGGAGGTAGGAATAAGAGGTTTAGTCCAAAGTCAGTCAAGTAATAGAAAATTTTTTATTGATATACCATGTTTAAAGTATTTAGGATGTTTTTAATGATTACAGTTTGTCAGACTTAGAATCCCTACAGTGTAGATAGAGGCCATTTGGCCCATCAAGTCCACACAAATTCTCTGAAGTGTATCCCACCCTATCTCCACAACACATTTACCATGGCTAACCCCCCTAACCTACACACTGCAGGGCAATTTACCATAGGCAATCCACACAGCCTGCACACCCCTAGACATTATGGGCAATTTAGCATGGTCAGTCCACCTAACCTGCACATCTTTGGAATGTGGGAGGAAACTGGAGCACCCAGAGGAAACCCACGCAGACACAGGGAGAATGTGCAAACTCCACACAGATGGTTACCCAAGGCTGGAATCAAACCTGGGTCCCTGGCGCTGTGAGGCAGCAGTGCTAACCACTGAGCGACTATGCTGCCCTTGAGGGGCACTGTCTCTCCTTACCACACTTGGATGGAGTAATTAGGCACTAGTTGGATCAGGGTAATGTGGGAAACCCATGAAGACAGTTCCCTATTTTACTGGCCCAATCATTTCTCAACAGGATGGTCTTTAGCCTTCCAGATTTTCCTCTCCAATAACTTCAGGCAATGGTCAAATGCAATGTTCAACTGAAATACCCAAAAGCTCCTGCCTGAACTGTTTGCCATTATCTCTGTGAAAATAGCTCACTGTCTGCTTCACCATTAAAAGGCATTGAATGGCAACAAATTGCCATATTTATGCAGTAAATGCAGAATAAACTCAACCCATTGAACCAAATCTTGTCCATGTGAGTCTAAGAACACTTTAACAATATGATTTGTGTTTATTATTATCAGACAACGTCCCTGGCTACAAATATTAATTCAAATGGGTGTGGAGTTGTGTCCCTGCAATGTTTATTTTGGAGGTTTAAAAAAATACATTTAATTCTGCTTTCTTTTCCTTTCTGTGTTATTTTTCTCTTAATCCAACATTCTTTTCCCTCTTTTTATTTTTCTCGTGTACCTGATTTGACATTGAATTTCCCACTTTATTTACACTTCCTTCTCAGTCCTTGTGCTCTTAATTTCACAATCCTCTAACCTAACTGTTTCAGGAAATACACAGTAGCTTGCCCAGTTCACTTCAGATCCCAGACCCCCAGTTTTCCTTGCTGTGCTGTTATAAACTCACACTTCAGCAACTTGCCCATTGCAAGCAATTTCAAAGTCATAAATGAACAAGGTTAACTCTAATTGACTGCAGATGCTGTTAGATTCACTCTTAATCAACAGTCTGGCATTAATATCATTAAACCGAGTGTTTAAATAACATTTCTGATTCAGAGCCCTATTGAGTTCATACATAAACCTGTTGTTGTGCTTTCTGCGTACAAAGCCAACTTGAAGAGATACAGAGAAATCAAAAAGGAAAATAGATATTGCTATGGTCATGTAAATCGACATGATAGAAGGTCAAATCTGCCTCAGTTTCCACTACGTATCAAATGAAGTCAGGAACACTCTTGGTATAGCATTGAGGTTGCCAGTTACAGTCAATAGCCAACAGTAACATTGTGTTTGCTGTGACCTGATATTTTAGTGAAGATTTTGTTGCACTTAATTGAATGGTTTAGAGACTGTGCAAAGAAACTGAGGGATAGATTTTTATAACTTAGCTCCAGATGCCAAGACAGGTCAGGCAGGTTGGTTGCCCATTGTGAATGAAGACTGACAATTTCAACAGCAACGGATTGATCCTATCATCAGGTCTAATGGCCAGACAGCAAGTTGATACTTCATGCCTAAGTGCAGTCTGGGCCCCCTATGGGTGATGACCCCCCTGCCCAATGCACTGGTTATGGGGGGAGGGGTAGTTTGGTTGAAAATTGGTGGAGTGAAAAACATGCCCATTTAAGTTGATGGATCAGAATTCTCCTCCATCCCACAATTCTCCCCATCCTCATGATGCTGGGTCACTCAGTGAGGCATCAATTGTCTTGGAACAAGTGATGCCATCACACCCTGCTCCCAATTGAGAGCCCAATAAGCAAACACGACCGAGAGTGTTTCTCGGGATTGGTCTGAGGTGGCTGCCCTCCTATTAGTGGGTAGATCACCTGCGGTGGTAAGATGGGAGTGCCACCTAAGGGCCACAATTGGCATCAAGGTGGGCAGGCACCCAGTTCCCTCCCCAGTTAAATGCCCCCACATCTAAAAGTAGTGAGGGCATTAAATTCCACCCTTAGTCTGTCTAAGGTAAGCAATAACACAGAGAAAAGTCCAATTAGAAATCAATGGATGACAGTGAATTGCTTCAAGTGCAGTGAACAAATCAAATGAACAGCGAGAGAGAGAAATGATGTGACATTTTTATGATGGTCCTAAGCAGGCCGTAGATGCGCAGGATGGATAAAAGTTCATGATAACTCTCGTGAAAAGTGTCACAACTGGGATCCCAGTAATCTGACAATGAATTATTCTGCCCAGAAAAATGATTTTATTGAAAAGGGTAGAGAGGTGGGACTTGTCTTGTATTATCTCTATCTTAACCAGTTTCCTACTCTTCATTTGTAACATTTTTAATTTGTATGTGAACAAGTCCTTCGCAGATACATCATGATTGTACAGAAAGCGGTTATTTTAAAATCTGCCTGTCTGATAACTGCAGTAATCCTTTTCTGTCAATCTCATGGACTCTATGTCCTATATCAAGACTGACAACATCTTACTTCTCCACAGTAAGATGTCACCTGCGTTACTAATCAAGGTTCTGATTTCCGCTCCTGTCACACAGCCAGAGATACCCCTGTGTTTAAATGTACATATTGCAAATAAAAATCATAGAAACTTAATGGAATGCCTTTTGGATGCATTGCACATATTGCAAATGGCAAGAGTAGAGTCGCTATGAACACTGGAGGCTTTAAAGAATGGTTCAAACATACTACTTTTAAAATGCATCTGGATTGAAGGAACTTTTGTTTCACAGGCAGAGATTGACTGTAAATCTGAGTTAGACATGGATATGTCAAATAACAAATTCAAATTTGGAACCTTAGTTTATGTTAACTGTCAACTTCAAGAACTGGCACCATCAAATTCTAAATGTGACAGAAATAGAAGAGAAATGCAATATTGCATCTCCCCCCTTCCTAATCTGCAATATTAACATGGCTGTGAATTGTTTCTCTGCTTCTATTGTGTTGGACTCTGGTCCTTCCTAAGGAAATGAACAGCTCTATCAGACATTGCTGCAAACCCAGGGAAAACAAAGACAGACTCTTTTTCTTCCCCCTGCCATCTCCTAACCTTCTGGGCTCATGCAGTTTACAGTCCAACCAGAGATTCAAATGCTGAGGTACAACCTGATATGTGAATATAAAATGTGACCATTGGTGCACACTCTTCTACCATCTTGCTCCATTATGATTTGCCAAAGTCTTTCTCCATTATGAAAGTTACAATCAGGAGAAAGGAACACAGCCCAACTGACTGGGATACTTTTTCAACTTTTGTTCCTGTTTCTCTCAGGAGATCATATTGTTTTGAATACAGTGTGCGAAGTGCACTTATTGTTCTGCCCAATGCTTCTCAGTTGTGTGATTCAGTGGGCTTTCCCTGTCTGTTATTGTTTGCATGTATTTACACATTTATGCACTCTCCATGCTTCTCACTCTCCTACACCATTGCTCCTCGATTCTCTGGGGCTAATTTTAAACTCCACACTCGGCATGGGGAAATCGGAATGAAGATAAACAGTGGTTGACAGTGCCCTGTGGTTGTGGAGATTGGGAGGAGAACTCCTGCTCTCCCTAGCTTTGCCATAAAGCAAGAGAATCAATCTCTCCAGGTTGCTGGCTTGGTTATTGTGTGCCAACAGTAAGTCAATGCTGCATGACTGTTCAGTTTCCCAAATAGGGGCCTGAAACTGTCACTAGATACGCAGCTTGCATATTAAAGAGCCCCCTATTCAGGTACTTAGATGCCTACAGAGAAGCCCAAAGCAAATGGTGGGAATGTGGAAGGAACAGGCTTGGACAATTTCTTGGCCTGTAAATTTGCTTCACAAAATTCAATGTCTGAGCTAAAAAGTCAGACTTGGGCATGATGTAGCAGGATATCATAGAATCCCCATGGTGTGGAACTAGGCCATTTGGCCCATCAAGTCCACACTAACCTTCTGAAGAGCATCCCACCCAGACCCACTACCCTACCCTGTAGCCCTGCATTTCCCATGGCTAGTCTACATAGCCTGGACATCACTGGATGCCATGGGCAACTTAGCATGGCCAATCCACCGTAACGTGCACACCTTTGAACTGTGGGAGGAAACCGGAGCACCCGGAGGAAACACATGCAAACTCCACACAGAGAGTCACCTGAGGGTGGAATCAAACCCGGGTCCCTGGCGCTATGAGGCAGCAGTGCTAACCACTGAGCCACAGTGGCACCATATGCTGGCAACACTCATAACAATTTGCTTCTGGAATGTTATAATCCCACCTCCAACCAACACCAGCCATCTTTACAGTTGAACCAAGAAGTGCTTCTATCTTCTGTGCTCCTCAGCCTATCCACAGACAGTCAGAAGTGTGTTCAGGAAAGATGGAACTTTGGCTCTGGGTCACATATCTGATCAATGTGCCTTAAAGATCTACAGAGTCCAAAACCACATCTGTGCAAACCAATGAACTAAGATGGGAGTACCTGTCCAAAACCAGATCTGGTGCAAATATGAGCTTTCCGGGATGTTCCATGGATCGCCAGACAAGGCCAATCATCAAAATTTCTAACCAGCAGCATTCCAGCAGTTGCACCTGGTCATGAAGTGTTAAATCCACAAATCCTGGGGGAGTGGGGGAAAAGACTGCGTTAGAGACACACACATACAAATGACAGTGAACACAAGACACAGAGCGAACATTCAGTCTGCTAATTGTACACAAGGCTGAGGGCTCAGCACTGGGCTTAGTCTGGAGCAGGTACACACAGATTGCAGTCACAACGACCACATGACTCAAAGGACCTTCAAACCCATTAACGCACTTGATTACATTGTGTAATACCATTGTCAATTTCGCCAACTGTAATTGGTAAAAAAGGATTAAGTAATGACGACAGGTTGCTCAGACTGACCTTGTATTCCCTTGACCATCATTGATAAAGGGATGATCTAATTGAAGAGAGAAAGACGATTGAAGGATTTGGTAAGATAGGTAGAGAGAAAGAGGCTATTGTGGCACAGTGGTAGTGTCACTACTTCTAAGGCAGGAGGCCCACTGGATGTGTTTCATAACGGCCATGAACAGGTTGATTAGTAAAATATCTAAATAGGGACAAATTTGTTTCTCTGGTGGGAGATCAGAACAGACAAGCATAAACATAAAATCAGAACTTGGCTGTTCAAGGTGAGATCAAAAATCACTTCTTCACACAGAGTATTAGAAATCAAGAATTCACCCCCTAAAAACCGATTGCGAGAAGGTCATTGGATTGTTTCAATATGTTTGCTTGACAAGGGCTTTAAAGGAATGGAAACATAACAGGCATATTAAGATGTTAATAAACTGAATCTAACTGAATAGTGGAATAGTCTTGAGAGGGTGTATGGCTCCCCTTTGTCCTTCCGTGTATTCCTACTTTGTGTAAAACCTTCGCTGTTTTTAAAGCAGCACAGTCTGCATCACAATCTGATTTTCTGGTACAAAGCTATGAATTTGGAAATCTCCACACACTACTTTCAAATCTCTTTGAGAGAGGTTTCACAATAAACATCCGACAGAAAGGGTTGGGAGAGATTTATTCGTTCACAGGATTTCCGCCACAATGATGGATAAATTCTGTTTCTCCCTAACAAGTCTCTTTGTACTTATCGCTTCATATTACAGAACTTAAGTCTGCTCGCCCACCACCCCAACCAAATTTTGTCAATTAGTTTCTTCTGAGAAGTTCCTGTGTTCATAACTAAATGGAAACCTCAAAGTTGTCCTGACAGAGGAACAGCAGCACCACCCCTGTCCAGAAGCAGTAATTACAATGTGACTTGTTTGCTTCTATTAAATGTAAATGCAAAGATTTTCAATGAAAATGCAAAAATCAGGCCTGAGTGTATGACTTTAAAGATAAATGGTTGCTCCCAGACTCCAGCACTGTTCCAAGTTAATTGCTGATGAAAGAACTGCTTCCATTTATGTAGCACCTTTCATGAGCTCAGGAGGTTCCAGAGCAGATGTGTGAATATGGTCTGACGATACCATTCTCCCTGGGTTCCATTCCAGCTCCATGTAACAGTGCACGTGAAACTTACAAGCATGGATGTGTTAGTTATCCCTGAGCTATGTGACATGGAGAGAGGCATATAAGAACAGGAATAGGCCATTCAGCCCCTCAAGCCTGTTCTGCTATTCAATTAAATCGATTAAACTGTACCTCAATATCATCTGCTCAGATTCGTTCCATATTCCTTATTACCGTTATTTAATGAATCCATCGAACTCAGTCTCCAAAGCTCCAATTGGACCCTAGCATCCACAAATTCACAGGGAACAGAGTTCCAGACGGTTTAGAAAATGTCTGAAGGTCTAGCTCTTAGGATTTTACCCCTTCACTTGCAAGTTAAAAACAGATGCTGTCTGCCAACCAGTCACTTCCATGAACATTTTAAACAGCTCCATCAGATCACTTGAACCACTGGGTCATTTAAACAATCCTTTTGTTCTCAGTACATGACCTGGGTACCTAACCACAAGCATTTTTAATTGCATCCTGTTTTCATGTTTAGTCTCAAGTTCATCTGGGCATGCTCTCTGTAGTAGACACACTAGATTCTCCTTGTGATCTGCGATAGCTTCATCCACTGTACCTTCACATTCATAGACTAGCAGACCATCCACTTTAGCTTCTGCTCCAGGAAGATCCCCGACTACCATGTGCTATTGGTATTGATCAATATTCCTCCAGAACAGTGAAAATGCCAAGTGCCATATGCAAACATCTGTATCTCCCAAAATGGAATGCATTTAGAGAAACACTGCTTTCATTAGGGTAGCTCAGTGGTTAGCACTGCTACCTCCCAGTGTCAAGGACTCTGGTTCGGTTCCAGCCTCAGGTGACTGTCTGTGTGGGGTTTGCATATTCTCCCTGTGTCTGCATGGGTTTCCTCCGGGTGCTCCGGTTTCCTCCCATTGTCCAAAGATGTGCAGTTTAGGTGGATTGGTTGTGCTAAATTGCCCATAGTGTTCTGGGATGTGCAGGCTGTGTGTATTAGCCATGGGAAATGCAGGGTTACAGGGATAGGATAGGGGCGTTAGGTCTAGATAGGATACTCTTCAGAGGGTCGGTGTGGACTCAATGGGCTGAATGGCCTTCTTCCACGCAGTAGGGATTCTATGATGTTGCACAAAGCACCAGTGTCTAGTTGACGCTTCACATTAACTTGATGCTTCCCTTCAGCAATTATCAATCTAACAGTCTCAACCCCATTTATCACCTTTTGACCTGACAATGTGAACCTGTTGTGTGATATAGAATGATTTTTCAGACTCATCGACTGACATCTCTTCAGCTGCCATCTTAACTGGCTTGTTTTGATTCTTTTTCGCTAACCACTTGCATGCCAAGTAATTAAGCTTCCTGCACTTAGAGCAGTACCTTCCACATGCTAGACATGTTTTCATTTACTTTACATGACATTCTCTGAAGTATGTCCTGCACTGACCTTGATCTTTCTGCAAATATTTCATCCTTGTTTACAATAAGTTGTTCATGTTTGGACTGGAATGTCTCACAGTGTAATGCTCTTCTCCCTCTTGCACTCTTGCTAATGCTGGACAATCTCAAAGCATCTACGGTCAGTGGCTTTCTTGAGAGCAAGTTTCTACTTTCTCAGCAGGTGTGCTCTTACTGCAAGATCTCTTATGCCTGAGAAAATTCTACCTCTGATCACAGAATCTTTCAGTTATCCAAACTCTCAAGATTCAGCGAGATTTAACAGCGTAGCCACAGCCCGAAAAATATTCTCCCCCTACCACCAAGCTCTGATGTTGAACACATACCATTCCTCAGTAACATTAACAGAGGGTTCAAAATATATTGTTGGAGCATGCAAAATCTCTCCTGATTGGCCTTTTCTGCTCCTCTAAGCTGCAATACACCTCGTAGCTCTCCCCCCCACCAGCACAGATTGCAACTCTAAGTTGCTCAGTCTTTTTATTTAATTCTGTAAATTAATACTTCAGCTGCTAAGAAAAAGAAGAAAGTCCCAATTCTGTGTCACATCTCATTTCATTTCCACAGCAATTAGAGAATGGAAAACGTCCTGCCATTTTGACAGACCCAGTCATTCAAAGTTGCAGATTTTATATTTATTTAAACAAGTATCCTTGCAGTTTCGTTCAGTAGCTGACTCTCTTCCAGATCTAGAAATTTGCACATTTTCAATTGCATTGTTTCTGACACAGTTTTCCTAGTGATTATTTTTTCAAAAGGAAACCCTGGAACAGTTTGAAGCAGGCTAGTCAGCCCATCAAGTCCATAACTGACCCTCTGAAGAGCATCCCACCCAGACCCAACCCCCCTACCTTGTCTCTGCAACCCTGCATTTCCTTTGACTAACCCATCTAACCTGAACATCCCTGGACACTACGGGCAATTTAGTGTGGCCAATCCACCAAGCCTGCACATCTATGGATTGTGGGAGGAAACTGGAGCACCCAGAGGAAACCCATGCAGACAGTCACCCAAGGGTGGAATCGAACCTGGGTCCCTGGCACTGTGAGGCGGCAGTGCTAACCACTGAGGTGACCATGCCACCTACCCCCACTACTTCTGATGTGTTTCAATGGATGTCACAGACTATACACAAAGGCACGTACTGCAGAGCTAGCTGCCACATCATTACAGTAAGCCAGGTAGTACCTTGACCATCGTTATATTTCTCTGAACAGTGATTGTATGATGTGGGCATTGGGCAGCAGCTGAAACCTGAGGAGTGGGCTCACAGTAATTGGGCTTTCTCTTACAGTTTAATTCTCCTCCCCATCCCCCACACAACCAACAGCATTGGTCTCCTAACACTCCCTGTGCCATGTCACACACATCTGTTGGAGACCTGCCAATGAAGACAAGAGTCGAGCCTGGAGTGACCGGTCCCCTGGGGAAACGCCGAGTTCCTCGGCATCTCCTTGATGTTTGTGTGATTATATTTGGAAGCTCATCACACAGGAAGCATACTCATGTCCTGCTACTACATTCCTTCAGGACCTTTTCCTTCACACAGAACAATACATCACGGAGGCCATTCAGACCGTCCAGGCTGTTTGAAAGTGATATCCAACGAGAAATCACACTTCTGTTCCCCAAAACCTTGTAATTTCTCCCTTTATAAATATTGGCCCAATTCCTGTTTCAATATTCCAATTGAATCTGTTTCTAATACCCTTTCAGGGCAATACATTTCCAGTCACGCCATGAAAATATTTGTCCTTATGTTGTCTTTGGGTTTTTGTGAAATCTGGATATTGTACCTTCTCCCTCAAGAGATAAGTTTCTTCTTGTTTACTCTATCAAAACCCTTCATGATTTTCTGTCAAATCTGCTTTGAACCTTCTATGGTCTACAGAAAGTAAACTTTATATTTATATAGTGCAGTTCCAAACCATTGAATGTCTCAATGTGCTTTACAGACAACAAAACACGTTTAAAGTGTAGTTACTGCTGTAATAAATTCTCACGGCTTCTCCAGTTTATCCTCAACGCAGTCCTAAATGGCTACATCACATCATTAGACTGTGACCCCTGGTTTTGACTCCATTGGGAACATTCATCCTGCATTTACCGTGTCAAGAC